GCAAGGACCTCACAGCCCGGCAGCAGGGGTTCCCAGACTACAGCCCTCCTCCTGCTTCTATACCGCCTTGGAGCTAAGAATGGTTTTGACCTTTTTTTAATGTTTGGGTGAGAAAAAAAAAAAATCAAAGGAAGAGAAACCGTTCATCACGGGTGAAATTCCCAATTCCGTGACCACGAATAAAGCTTTATTGGAAAACAGGCATATTCGTTCATTCCCATAGTTCTGGGCCACAGCGGCAGACCGGCCTGCAAAGCCACAACTACTGACTGACTCTCTGACCCTTTACAGAAAGAGCTTCTGTTCTCCTGGATGAGACAGACAATAAATATATAAACAGATTAACTTGTGTGTTTACGGCAGTGCTGAACACGAGGAAGAAAAGGCTGGATGGGGAGCGACAGAGGCTGGAAGGGTGAGTTTAGGCAGTGCGGCCAGGAATGGCCTCTGAACTGAGACGTGAAGAGACAAGGAGTTAGCTGACGAGAAGAGTGAGGGGAAAGCCAATGCAAAGGCCCTGAGGCAGGGCAGGGAAGAGCAGGCAGGGAAACTGGTTATGACTGAGGCACAGGATGGGGGGAACAGTAGGGCAAGGAGAAAGGACAGAGGACAGAGCAGGGAGGCCATGGGAAGGGGTCTCCCAATTTTCTCCAGGAACCTGAGGAAGCTACTGGAGCATTCTGAGTAGAAGCTGACCACTTTTAGAGCTTCTAAAAGCTCCTTGAGAAAGCAGGAGTGAAAAGTGACAGACCCGTGGCAATACCTTCTCTAACCAGCAAGCTGCTCCCAGAACAGGCCAAGTCAAAGTGGAGGAGGAAACTCAAAAACCAACTCATCCAACAACAAAATCAATTCATCAACCCACTCGGGCCTTCCTACTGTGGTGACACAAACCTGTTTTTTTAATATCAGAGTTAAATCCATTTTCACTGGATCAAAGGGTCTGCAACCAGCGTATGAACGGATCCACAACTTCATGGACATTACTGCTTGGGAGAAGGCAAGATTAAAGAAGTGAGTCACCTCAAAGTAAACGTAAAGAGAACTGTTAAGCAAAGTGACAGGAAGGGGTATGGTGGGGGATGGGGGGGGGGGGAGTATGGTGACAGGTGGAAGCCAGCCTCAGCATGGCACCCGGGCAGGCTCGGGGTGAGGCCACGCCCACCAGGCGGCACGGACAAGTCCATGGGTGCCCTCCTCTCCTGAAGAGGAAGCTGCAGGCTGGGAAGGGCCCCAGAGAGGCAGAGTGAGAGCTCAGCCGGGAAGGACTAAGGACTGGGACAGGCAGGCTGAGTTTGGCCAGACACTGTTTGCAAATACAAGCCCCTCCCTATTCAAGGACAGAGGGGAGGAAGGGGACAAGGGACACCAGAACTTGAGGGAGAGCAGGGTCACAGCCAAACATCAGGCTGCTGCAAGATTGAAGGTTAAGTGACACGATCTCCTTCGGGGGCAACTGTGCAATGTCTGAGGACATTTGTGGTTGTCACACTGGGGGTGTGGGTGTGCTCCTGGGATCAAGTGGGTGGGGCCAGGGATGCTGCTCAGTATCCTACAGTGCCCAGGGCGGTCCCAGGGAGGACCAGCCGATCAAATGTGGACAGGCAGAGGGAGCCGCTGACAGGAGCTGATGCCACACACCAGTAATCAACCGTGTCCAGCTCCCAGCTTCCGGGGCCACACAAAGCATTCAGTGCTTCTCAACCCCTTTGATCCCCCACAACGACCCAGCATACGTTCTCACTGCACCCATTTTACAGGTGAGGAATCTGAGGCCCAGAGAAGGGACGTGATGTGGTCTGGGGGAGGGATGTGAACCCGGGTCCCTCACACTTGGAAGCCTGTATGGGGAACGGAGGGGGGGACAGGAATCCAGGGACACGGTCAAGAACAGCAGGTCAGAATGGAGTCCAGGTTCAGCCCTGGCGTCTGCTGCCCAGCATCCTCACCAGGGCGGGGCAGGAAAGAGCTGGGGCACAGAGGCCCCTGGGGGCAGCAAATCTCTGGAGCAGAGCCAGGAGCCCTGGCGTCCGAGGCTGTGGGGGAGGCTCGGCGGTGACCGAGCAGGTCTGTGCGGCCCTCCACAGTCATGCCCTTTGCAAGCAGGTCATTCGCTCTTCACCCCGCCCCCCAACTTGGGAAGGCTTCATGACCCCCCTAACTTTGTTCCTGAGCAAGTGACTGGCCCAAGGTCACAGAGCTCTGAACCCCACACCACGCTTCCACAGCCCAGGAAGGAGGCCACTTAAAAGGCTCATCTGCCAGGGTCTCAGTCCGGCACCACCCACCCATCCCCTCAACCAGACCCCCACGGATGGTGGGATTCACACCCTAGGACCCTCACCTCTCCCTTCCCCCCATGAGAACTGAGGCCCCCTCAAGTTAGCAATTCTCTATAACCTGTCCCAGCGCTCCATCGCTCCCCCCCCACCCCCGCCTTCTCACAGGTGTCACATAGAAGCCAGAACAGATGGCTGAGCCCCTCCAGGGGATGGGGGTGGGGCAGGGGAGGGCAGAGGCAGCAGCACCGGGATCAAGCACAGACAGAGCGGCAGGGGTGAGGGGAGGGGAGGGGAGGAGGCTGACCACCCTAGAGGGCTCCTGCAGGATGGCACAGGGACTGAGGAAAAGTACAACAAAGGCCGGGCGGGGTCCTAAATGACCAATCAGCACTACCTTTCGGCACCAGCAGGGCACAATCTCCTTAGCAGGCCACCCCCAACGAGGAAAGGATCCAAAAATGGGAGAAAATCAATTGTTCCAAGACCTGTAGGTATTTCGAGTCTCAAAAGCTACACACTCCCATGAGTGTGCACACACATGCACGGGCGGCAACTGCCACCGGACGTGCATGCAAGCACGGCCACACCTGGGTGCCCCGGGCCACCCCCCTCCATGGAGCCACCCCCTGTGCTCCCCAGCAGTGACGTCCCCCAGGGCAGGGCAGCCTGACCGGCGTGGTGTCCCCGGCGCAAACGGAGGAACACGGAGATTCACCCAGCATCCAATCAGAAACCCGGAAAGAGGGCCAGCGAGTTTCAGAAACCCTCGACTCCCATAATCACAAGTTGACTCCTCGACTTTCACACTCTGTCCTTCAGGGTTCCACACACCAGGCTGCAAAGACAGGAGAGGCCGTCCACAGCTCTTGCAGAGGCGGCCAGAAACGGCTGACCAGCGAGTTGACAAACCCTCCCGCAGCCTCATAAGGAAGCTATTATTTGAGAATTAGGGGAGTCATTAGCTCTCGGGTGGCGGCGACAGAAGCCCATAGAGTCATCTAATGAACCCGTTTTAGGGGCTTTCTCCAGCCTGGGGACAAGCACATAAATGGCTGTTGAGGCAGAGGGGTGGGGCAGGGCCCCCAAGCCTTGAATGCATCCCACTATCCTCCCACCCCAAGACAGAGCCAGCACCGCGTGGGGCCCCACGGAACTTGCTGAATAAAAGCAGCTGACAGAGACACACCGACCAGAACACACTCTTCACAGGCAGGATCACCGGATTCCACCCAACAGAACCACCTTCTCGCTAGTTTCATAACTCGGGAAACAGTTCCCCAAATGCACCTGAATTATTAACACAAAAGCATCCTCCCCCCGCCCCAAAACAGATGGGACACACGGAAGCGCAGTCCACGCCTCCCCCGCCCCCAGGGGGAGGACAATCGCCGGCAAAACCTTCCACGGCGTTCAGGTGGACACGCACCCCATTCCACCTAGTGTCACCGTGCCCCCTGGGCGCGGACTCGGACCCCCGCACGCAGAGTGAGTCCGTCCCCCAGCTCCCAACCGGGTCGCGGCGGGAGCGACTCCACAACCGATTGCTCCAGAGAAGGGGGTCTCTGGGATGGCGATAGGGCTCCAAGAGGGAGGCACTGAGGGGACGCGTCTGGAAGCTGCGAGGTGCCTACCAAGTGGACACGTATTTTAATAATAATTTTAAAAATCCAGACTGCACGCTTATTGTAGGGGGCTGGGAGATAGGAAGCGAGTTGGGAAGCCACGACGGCGCGGGGGGCTGTCTCGGGGCGGGGGGTGGGGTGCAGCGACGGCCGCGTCGGGGGCCGCGGCCGGGCAGCGCCCCGGTGACCCCGCCGGGAGCCGAAGGGGCGGAAACGCAGGCAGGGGCCAGTCGGGGCCTGGGATCGCTAGCTCCCTAGCGCTCGCGAGCTCTCGGTCTCTGCCTCGTTCTTTTTTTTTTTTTTTTTTTTTTTTTAATTATCAGGATTGTTGTGAATAATAAAAGAGAAGGGCCCAGCCGGGCAGGGCCAGCCGGGCCGGGCCACCCACGCTGTCATCTTTTGTGCAGGGCCGGCGGGGACGCCCCGGCCCAGCCCCCGCGCGCGCCCCCGGCCCCGGGCCGGACGCCCCCGCCTCCCGCCCCCGTCCCCGCCATTGTCCGGCCGCGCCGCCCCCGCCCGAGGCCCGGCTGGCGCCCCCGGGCCGGGCGGTTAACGCCCCCAACCGCCTCGCGGGCCGGGACAAAGCGCGGCGGCCGCGGCCCGAACAGGCCGCGCCCGAGGCCTGGGC